CGTGCAGACATGAGAGTGGTATCAATCTTCTCATCTAATGCAAAAATAAGCAAATAAGTTTCCCAAAATGTTGAACTAATCCTTTAATACAACATGCCTTTCAGCTGCATTGTATTCTGGTCTATTGAGGCCACAATAAGCACAGAGGTTTGTAAAGTGGTGTCTCTGCTTCTTTTCTGGGGGATTTATAGCTGTAGGAAAACTGAACACTGCTCCCAAATAGTGAAACAAGAGAGTAGCTCAGGTAACTTGATGTCTGATGTTTACTGTGGCATCAAAATGAATTCATTTTTTTCTATTTTAGCTTCAGTGGCAGTACTGCAATGTAACAAAAGAACATCAACAACAAATCGAATAGATTTGTTCACTAAAATAAGCATGCAGTATTAGATACATAAATGTGAGATACTCACCCAAAGCCACCTCCTGAATGAGAAATATGAACAGAGATTGTGAAATTAGTATTAGTGGATTTGTGTGAAACTATATGAAATGTTTATGTTTTTGCATTGCTCCATGTCTTGCGTGCTTATGGTGCAAAGATGAACAAAAGTTACCCAGGCAAATTTGGTGTCGGCTGGAATAAACAGTTTTAGCTATGACTGCGGCAGATCCCACAATCAGCGCAGCTATAAAGATCCCAATGATCGCTCCTGTGTAAGCAGAGGAGGCTGTGGAGACAAAACAAGACAACAGGAAAGGATTATGAAGCAGAAAGCGGGAGGAGCAGCAGGTTTATCAGCATTCCAGAGGTGGAGTCAACACCTGCAGTGACAGGCTCATTGTTTAGGTCTCTGGTGCATTTATATGTAGGATGACCTCGCTTATCGTTTCCTCTAATGTTAAAGTTTTTATGTGTTAACATTTTTTTAATGCTTTTCCCTTCCTCTCCTCCCAAACTCACTCCTCACAGTGAGGTAGACTTCCAGCTCACGGACGGCGAGTGGGTTCTCGCTGCGGCAGAAGTAGTAGCCTTCGTCGTCCTTGCTGATGTTGAGTATGGTCAGCTTGAAGACGGGGTCGTTCTTTTGCAGGACGTACTTCGATCCAGGTACAATTTCCTCCTGCTGGAGCCCTTTTCTCCAGGTGGTGTTTGCCGGGGGGGTGGACACGATCTCAGTGCAGGTTAGCGTTATACTGGTCGCCTCCTGAGCCATGGCCAGTGGCTCTCCTTCGGGGTATGGAGACTCTGGGAGAGAGAGATAAACATTAAACCATTTCTCTCAGTACTATAAGTTTACCTCTGTACTTTTGACTGTGGCAATGTAAATGTTGATCGTACACAGAGGGCTGAAATTATTTGGTTTGATTTGATTGATAGAAAAATGTATAATTATAATAATTGGCTAATTGTTCGAAGGAATAGTTCAATGTTTTGGGAAATTTCTTTCTTTCTTGGCAAGGGTTAGACGAGATAATCAAAGCCACTCTCATGTCCGTACGGTTAGTATGAAGCCACAGCCTGGAACTGACTCTGGAGGAGCCTGACTCTGCCTAATAAAATCTGCCCACCAGCTCCTCTAAACATCACTAATTAACACTAGTTTGTGTAATCAAAACTAGTGTGAACATGATTTGTAGTTTTAGGTAGAGAGTTATTGCTAAGCTAACTGTCAGTACAGACATATATGTGTGGTCTATTTCTCAAATATAAAACTATTTAAAATCAAGAAAATTATTTTCACTGTTTGATATCAAAGAAAATACAATACATCTTTGAGGTTTTTGGTCTTTTAGTCAGATGAAACAATCAATTGAAGAGGTCATCTCCATCGTCATGATGTAAAACTAGTGAATGTTTGCTTAAAAAATGAAACAATTGATCGGTTATCAATATAGTAGCTCAACTATTTGATCAATTGAATTATGATTTCAGCTCCAAAACTTTCATGTGTCAGAAGACCTAAGATCTACCCAGCATCTACTCAAGAGAACAGAAAATGTTAAAACTTTCATGAACTGTGTGTGTTGGTTGAATCATTACTGCATTACATCAACAAATAAGAGGTATATTTTGTATATAATTAAATGGGAATATGTCAAAAATTTACTTTATGGGAGTGTTGTGCTAGACAGGTAGATATTGGATCAAAGACACAGTTACAATCTTTAAAGAGGGTTGATAAGCCAATACATACTTAGAAAACTATCACACTTTTGCGTCATCTTATTGTTTGCACATATGTCCTGCGAAGATTACCTTTGCACTACTGAGTGACTCACATGTCCTGCATGCAACACCGTGTCCTCATGAGCACGCTACCAACTGTGTCTCTCTGGCTGTGTTTGCCTTTGCTGCAGTACTTAAAATCTAAGGTAAACTAATTATGAGAATATTAATTATGAGAATTAAACAAGGAGCTACAGTAATGAACACCTTAACATTAATGATGTCACAGTAAAGTTTATACAGTAAGCAGAGCACTGTGTTAAAGACATGGAGAGTGTGGAGGCAGACGGATATCTGAACGCCTTGGCAGAATAAACCTCTCTTAACCCCAATTTATGAACTATCTGCATGACTAGGCGCCATCCTAAGGTGCTGCCAAATCTTTTAAATACTCATTTTTAAATAATGACAGGACCAAAAACCCTTAAACTACTGGTTTGGAGGCAGACATCTCAATACCTGAACAAATAAAACCAAAACTGGAATTTGGCTGAACTGACCCTTTAAAGTTAAGTAATAGTGAGAATACAAGAGTGCAAGAAAACATCGTTCCCAATGGCTGCTCACTGAAGAGTCTCAGTGGCCTCTAAAGTGGAAAGCACATAAAAGATTCAGTAGTTGCACATCTCAGGATTGTTAAGAGGTTCATTTTACCACAACATGCTTACTGAGGGTAAACGAACATGACTTCTCCCTTCCTGGAGCGAGCGCTAGGTGCCCCGGCATGCACCTCAGCGTCTGCCCGTCAAACAGCATGGAGCGGTTCAGCGTCAGTGACAGGCTGTCCGTCACCTCTGACACATAGACGTGTCCTTTCCAGCTAGCTCCCTGTTCACCCTGGTCTTCCCCCCAGCGCAGCGTCGGGGTGGGATACGCTCCAAACCAGGTGCAGATGAACTGGAAGTGGGAGGGGTCCTGTGCTGGTGCCCACGAACACTCAGGGTGTCTGTCTGGGACATCTAGTCAGGACAAAAACATCAGTAAAGAAGCACAGGAACAGAAAGCAACAGAGGACTACGACCGCCATCATTTAAACATGCAGTGGATTCAGGACCTCTGTATCTCAGATCAGCAAATTCTGCAAGAAGAATTTTTTTCATCTAACTTTTTTTTATTTTTTAAATAATATACTATACAAACAATTGTTAATAATAATTAATTTCACTGGAATTTAGATGCAGCCAATCACCATTCAGTACTGATACATAAAGGATATATTTTTAGTTATAGTCTGTTTTCTGAAAGTTACAATCCCATTTCATGCAGTATTTATATAATATAATAATTATATACAAATATATAATAATTGTCTAATAATAGTCTAAAAGGTATCATCATCTATCCCATGGAGCATGGGTGCAGTAGTTAACAGTGTTTATTAAAAGATACATACTTATAACATCATAACATGTATTCTATTTCACCCTTTTCAGATTCAGGATATGGTTTAAAACGTCAATATTTTATAGGTTTATTGTTATGTTTTTTGACTATACCCCCCCCCTTCCAATAATTTTTGTTTCAGACGAACTACATTAAAACACACTCAGGAATTAGGGTTATTTCTGGCCTTTATTGGTCCACCAGTGCTGCACAATCCCCAACAATAGTACCGTTGATTTACAACAAAAACCTCCCCCCTCTCTCTGAAGTATTAAAAGTAGCTTCATGGGTATCTTTATTTTTATGGGCAACAGAATCTGAGATCTTTGTTAAGTTGATTAAAGTGTAATCTATACAACGTGTGCCTCATCTACATGCAAACATTGATAAATAAAAGTGGATTCAATGTATCATTTTCTTGACATTATCTTTTCTTGCACATAAAAACATGTTTAATTTTTTCATACAAAGGTGCTGAAAAAGTTATTGTTTTGGTATCAGACCAAGGCTTCATATTGGCATCAGTATTAAAACATTTTAAACCAAATGTTGCTTTGTATTGCTTTATAATTAATTATCTATTATATTGCTATATATTCTTTCTTCATGGCATAATAAAATCACTGACTCTTTCCAGCCCAACCTCTAAAGTGCAAACAAACAAATGAAAATAACCATAAAAATAATGCTTTTCCGCATCAGTTGTAGCAGGGGATTCTGGGTATTCTGCTCGTGGTACTTACAGTATACTAGCAGCTGTGTGCTCTTATTGACTGCCTGGTGAGAGAGGGTGTTGTGGGCCCTGCAGCTGTAAACTCCCTGAGCACTGGGCTGAATGTCCTCTATCCTGAAGTCCAGCCAGGATCCAGAGGTTGAAACCAGAGACTCGTTGCTGGACGCGGCTCCTCTGAAGGCCCACGTGAGCTGCTGTGACGGGTAGGAGACGCCGGAGCAGTTGAAGGAGACGGTCGAACCCCGAAAGGCGATGAGCGTCCCGTTGGACAGGGCAGTGGCTGGACCGATGGATGAAGATACATTTTCTGGACCACCTGAAAGCAATAAAGGCTGTGCTTTACAATAAAGAACATTGTAAATGTCACTTATTATGATTTAATTAACTTTCTTATTACTTTAAAAAAAATATTATTGCATTACAAGTAAATCATGCAAGCAACTTGTTATGTTTGCAAGAGAAAACGCAAATTGATGCCGATGAGCGATATTTATGAATGAGTCACGTGATAGACATTTAATAGGAGATATGGTGATGAAAACTCCACAGTGTATCTGTAATTAATTTTATTATTTAACAATAATTTTCAACTACAACTAATGGACCATTTTCACTGCATGAGCTTAACATAATGTGTAACACCACTGGCACAAAAATCCTCTTTATAGATGAAATCATTAGCTAACTGATTGCTTAGTTAATCATCACTCAATCATTTTAGACATTTTTAGGTCATTTTTCAAGCAAATATTTGCCGTTTCCAGCTTCTTAAACACCTGTTCATTTTCCTTGTCTTATATGATGCAATGTTGAGACGAATGAATGACAATTTTGCTTAAAATGAGAAATAAATGACTACTTGATGACTTCTAGTTGTTTTAGCTCTACACTTAATGATTAACTGAAGAAAAAAAAGAACATTTAAAATAATTGCCATCCCACTCTAGGGCAGCTTTATGTCTTCCAGTGGTGGAACTTCACTACATGAATCCAACAACTTATTTACTTTACACATTAAGAAGATAAAATGTGATATAATTCAAACTACCCAAGAGTTTCTATAAGCAAAGCTGAAATTATTAATGAATTCAATAATTAATAATCAATTGACAGAAAACCAATTGGCAAATATTTTGACAATCGTTTGTCATTTTTCATGTAAAAACAATGAATGGTTCCAGCTTCACAAACATGAGGATTTGGTGCTTTTCCTTTAAATATTATTTTTTAATAATAATAATAATAATAATAATAATCTTGTGGTTTGTAATATTAATTAGTAAAAAGGGACTGTGGAGGTGTCACTCTGGGTTACTTTGACCGCTTTTCTTTCCAGAATTTCAAACTAAACAGTCCATCAATAGGGTGGAGAAAATATAACTTTTATACTAACATACTTTTACTTCAGTAACATGTACGATGCATTAGGACTTTCACTTGCAACAGTGCACTCTCACTAAAGTAACGATATAGCTAGTATCCCTCCGCCTCTATGTCTGTATGCTGAAGAACCGGTTTGTGATCCAGACACTGAACTCACAACCGGACACGTTCACGTACTGGTTACTCGGAGCAGGACACGTGCCCGAAAGGTGTTGTTGCCTGGCAGCGACGTGTTGCACAGGTAGCTGCCCTCATCTCCAGGTATCACCCTCGTGATCTTCAGAGTCCCATCATGCAGCACTGCAAGGCGCTGCCCGTCGGGAGAAGGGCTCGGTGAAGAGCCGCCACCTCGAATGACTTCTCGTCCATTTTTCATCCACGCCGTTAACGTCGGTGTTGCGTTACCGTCGGTATAACACGAAAGCAGAGCGACGTCTCCCGGTGTGACTGTCAGCGCCGTTTCGGTAGAGCCATTCCCCGAAACTGCCGCTGTGGAGGAGGAGGAGGAGGAGGGAGGAGGAGGAGGAGGAGTGAGGGAACAAGAAAACAACGTGAGGAGCGTTTTTCAGACTCACCTGTGTTACCTGGCTGTCTAATGTGAATAAAAACTCACCTGTCGCACATAAACACAGTAGTAGAAGCGCTGCGGCTGTGACTATCTTCATGGTAACTTTACAATTCGTCTCATCGCCCTCCGAAAAAAGTGAACAAAAGCTCTCCAGACCCAAACCTGTCTGACTAGTCCACCTGTGTGAGCCCACCTGTAACACACAGCGACACAGTGGACACCAGTCCGCCCATTACAAACCACACTGACTACCTGAAGGAGACCAGTCTGACATGACTTCTGTCCGTCCTGCTTTGTTTACTTGCGCATGCTGATCCGGAAACCTTGGCACGCACAAACCACACCCTGACCTCACCTTGTTAAAGGCACAGTAACACACTTTAAGATAAGGTGGTCCAATATTAATATTAATATTATTATTATTATTATTATTATTATTATTGCTGGAAACTGTGAATTTCCCCTTGGGGATGTTTATATTTAATAATGAATAATAATTAATAATAATAATAAATATATACATATATAAAAACATTATTAATGACAATAATAATAATAACAATAATAATGTTATTAATAATAATAATAATAATGTTATTCTTGTTGTTATTAGTGGTAGAAGAAGTTTTCAGATCCTTTCCCTCAGTAAAATAACTTAATATGATTAAAAGTTCTGCATTCAAGGGTGGAAGTATTATCAGCTAAATGTACTTATTTCAAAAGTAAAAGTACTCATTCTGCACTGAATAATCCGTGTCAGAGTTTTATTAGGATGTTTTTGGATTAATATTACTGCTGCAGTAATGTGTATGTTGCATTTTACTGTTGGTGTTTAAGGTTGACCTCTTTATACTTCATATACTGTATTGGTAGTTAATCTACAGAACTGCATCATATTCTATTAATGATCATCAGTATTTTTTTGTGCGTCGCTGTCCTGTGTAACTAGCCTACGGTGTCTTTAAAAAGTCAACTTTTCATGAACAGCCCCGTTTTTAAATCTTTATTTAGCTGATGGAGTAGGAGGATTTTCATAAAGAGCTAAAGGAATATTCAAGCCTCCACTTTATCATAAACATTCAAAAGAGATATAATGGAGTGGAAGCATAAAGTTGCATGAAATGGAAAAACTCAAGCAAACTACAGGTACTTTATATTTGTACTTAAGCGCAGTACTTAAATGTATTTAGTCACATTGGTATTCATATGTAGGGAATTGATGCAACAAAGTCTTCTCTAATCTGTGTTTCCTGTGTGTGTTTTCAGGTCTGAACTGACTGCCATAAAGGAGATAACAACTAGCTGTTGTAAACTACTGATTGCCATAGCCCTACCCCATAGAGGAATAATGTTCAACAATAAGAAAATGAAAAATGTTCCTCTGTTTTGATGTGTAAAATATGCCTCAATGTACTAAATCAATTAAACCATTCTGTTATAGTCAGACCCCGGTTTCTAAAAAAAGGGATGCTGGAAACAGAAAGTGTGTTAATGGAGCATGTGAGCTGGAGGAGGGACGAGCTCAGGACGGATGATGTGATTTATAAGAGATTTCAGCAAAGCACAATCCACAAGGCAGTGATGCAACAGCGCCCTCTGGCGGACACCCGCGGCTGGTGCTGTTTGTGCCGTTCACGTGTAGTCAGGATACTGGGAAAAATACATTTCACCACAAAGTACCAAACACAAGAGGCATCAATAAGTTAATTAGCCTTCCATTTGACGTCGCGTTACAATGAAGAAGGAATATCAACAGACATTACTACTAATATGTCAGTATTATGGCCACAACGGGCAAGTAACTTAGCAATAATCTACCGATGGGAGTTTACATCAAAACGATCAGGTTTTTACTAACGCTACAGCAGAGAATAGCTTACACAACACGAGTAACACACACTAAAGCTCGTTTAAGGCTGATTTCAAATTCACACATTAATCCATATATGGATTCATATGGTTAAACTTGTTAGCCAAACGCGCATGTGCTGACCCGTTTCTATATCGTCTGGTGGTACGTGAACGCATCACTTTCGTCAGTTTCAGGTCTCCAGCAGCGGCTCATCAGCAGCGTCTGCAGTCGGACTATAAATCAAAATGCCCGTAGATCTGAGCCAGTGGAGCGGTGCTCTCGCCCTGCCGGAGGTCGATGAAAAGCCTGCCCAGCCTCTGACCATTAAATACGGCTCTGTGGAAATCGACGAGCTCGGGAAAGTGCTCACCCCAACACAGGTTAGTCGGCCAACTAGTGTTTGCTCGCCAAGCTAACAACTCAGCTAACCTAGCGCCGTTAGCTTTAAAGCTAGCGCGTATTTCTTTCAACAAACAAACAAACTTTGCAAGTGATTCATTCGTATCAGCCTGTTTGCAAATGCTTTGACAACAATAAACTAGGTTACATAATGCTTCCAACGTGGTCTGCAGCTGTAAATAGAGACGGTGAATAGCGCCCCCGGTCGGGCATACAGACATTAAAGCTCCCACCGTGTTCACCTGCAGGTGCAGAGTCGACCCACCTGCGTAGAGTGGGAAGGATGTGAGTCCACTAAGATGTACACTTTGGCCCTGACCGACCCAGACGCTCCCAGCAGGAAAGACCCCAAATTCAGGTGGGAGGAGCAGGCAAACAGCATTTATGTGACAAAGAAAAAGGATGTGGCATTAAAATAGAAGTGGTGGTTGGAATTGAAGGGGAGTTGCACTTTTTTTTTTTTTCCTAGAGAAATGTCATGTAGGGAACCGGAGGGTGGGTCCAGTCTTGTGGTCAAATGGGGACAGTGGCCCCTGGTGGATCCATGATTCAATTGTCAATTGGCCCCGGGGTAAAACCATGAGACGTGTGCCCCTCTATACCCCCCATCCGCCACACTTTCAGTGCATTGTGTGTATATAGTACACTGGTGCCTTCAAGTACACCTCAAGCACACAATTGACTATACATAACAGATTAGTTAGATTTGGTCTGAAGCTCCAAATCAAAGTGCTAAACTACAACCTGGCGTCTGGTGTGCTTTGTGTCAATATGTTGATCAAAATGTGGTAATTTCTTTAATGAATATTCACGATGTGAGCACAGAACTCACTAGTCTTACAGTTTGACGCAGGACTCCTTTTACAATAAAGCCTCAAGATAATGCAAGTGTTAATGTATAGACAGTAGTTTGGGGTGGTAACTGATTACATGTAATCAGGATTACTTAATCAGATCACAAGATCTAAGTAACTATAATCAGCCCAGATTACATTTGAAAAAAGTGTAATTAGATTATAGGATTGGTTTTGATTATGTCTTACTGTCTACTCTATTAACCCTGTGCGGTCTGTAGACTTTAATAGGAGAATGGGGTACATCTCATGTTATTCCACCGAGCAGTGCATTTCAGGTCAGAGCTGCCACACACACACATGCACACACAGCCTCTGACGCTCAACCCAAAGCATCATGGGATTGCCAGTGGACGGTTTTCAACGTGGAAAGATTGATAATGAGTGTTTGACCAACTGTAATGCTGAAATGTTTTGAGAGTTTTTAAAGAGAATTTGTGTATTTTGTTAAGGCGGAATATTTCCGATGTTTGATTTTGAAGTTAAAATTATTGAAATTTGAATAAATTTTTTGGTAATCCAATGAATCACACTACTAATTAAAATACCGGCCATGTGATTTATATTTAGTAACTGACTGCATTTCAGTGTAATCTGACCCAACACTGCATACATATTCATAACTAAGGGTTGCCGCAGTCAATCTACAAACATTGAGCCACAGTGAGTCTGCAACTTTTAGGGCCCCTGAAGGCCTGGCAGTCGTCCACATTCAGTCTCTGTGCTGCTCATGATCAGCTCATTGCACTTTGCAACACTTCTTGTACAAAAAAGGGGGTTTAAGAGCGTAATTGTTAGTGAAAGCACACAGTGTGAATGAAAGCTTAAAATGTTTGTGCATCAAAACAGTGAAAGCATCTCTTTTTTTATTTTCGTCATAAAAATATTGTTTTTGCCTTTCTCTAAAGAGAGTGGCACCACTTTCTGCTGGTCAACATGAAAGGGAACGATGTGTCCACTGGCTGCGTCCTGTCGGACTACGTGGGCTCTGGTCCTCCCAAGGGCACAGGTGTTATTCACAGGACTGTTTAATTGATAGATATGCAACTACCTGTTTGGAGTTTTGAATGTCTGCTGCCTTTGCCATTGTTAATGTTAAGCAGTATCTGTAGCCTAGCAACATTTAAAAGCCTCAGTCTTTGTGCCCCTCAGGTCTCCACAGGTACGTGTGGCTGGTGTACGAGCAGCCAGGCAGCCTGTCCTGCTCCGAGCCCGTCCTCACTAACCGCTCTGGAGACGGCCGTGGCAAGTTTAAGATTCAGAGCTGGAGGCAGAAATACAACCTTGGAGCCCCGGTGGCGGGGACCTGCTACCAGGCCGAGTGGGACGACTACGTCCCCAAACTGTACGAGCAGCTGGCCGGCAAATAAATAAAAAGACTCGTCTCAGAGTGTTCAGCACTAGGAATTCCCACGGAGGCTGTCTGGTCTGTAGGAAATTCCCATTCTTGCAAGAAGCAAAAAAAAACCGCAGACTTTAATAAAGCATTTTCCTTTGTGAGTGTGCCACTGAATAGAATATTTTTTTTTCCCACTGTTGCCTAACCATGCTGTGTCACCTGCACTATTCTGCAATAAATCTGTTAAACACTGAAATGGTTGTGTTGTTTGTAGAAAATTCTCCATAACGTTGTATAATTAAACATAAAGTATTCTGATGCTAATAATAAGAACCAAGGGCATATCACATTTGGAGGTAGGTTACATTTGGAACCTCAGTTGCAGAGTCAGAAAATACATTGTCAGCAAGCAGGTACAATACACCCACATTTTGTTCCTGTGTGAGAGGTCCTGGCCCCCATAATGTCCCTATCTGCAATTGTTTTACTATGTTTTTTTTATTAGAACAATTTCACCAAATAGTGCCAGGAACAGTTTGGGTTAGTGAGTACTGCATTTGACCCAACATGCATTTAGTAATCTTTGCTTTTGTTAACAAGTGGGTCTTTACTTTGTGTAGTGTAACCTCAGCTCACTTTCTCCAGCACTGCAATGTGAGATGAGAAATTGTCACCTCATAATCAGACTTAACTGATATTTTCTTTTCACTTATTTTTACTGTAGAGTACTACTATTACTACTGTTACTACTATTACTAGTACAGTTCACTGACAAAACAAGCCTACAATACAGTGCTCCAAAAGCTTTGATATGAGGTAGAAATATTTAACGCCAGTTTGCTACATCTGCACAGTAAAAGTGATGAAGATGTGTTTTCAGCTCATAGATCAGAGTGGAACCCTCCAGCAGCTGTGTGTGCTGTCAAAATGCTGCAAATGTACTGCTTTTTGAGGTCGTACATAGTGATAATGATATGAGTCATTTATGTTGGACATATATAACAGCACGGCCTTAGTTTGTGTGATGAGCACTTTATTTACAAATATAATTAAAAGCTCTGACAGATTCATGCTTTCTTTTAACCTGGAAAAAAAAAATTAAAGTGCATGCAATAATAAAGCATCATACTGGTCTGGTTTATAAGAAAATACACAGCTCGGGAGTTGTGTAAAGCAAAGAAAAAAAAAAAGAAAATCCAATGAAAATCCCATTGATAGATGACTCAAATACTATCTGAGGAGGGGGGAGAAAAAAAGCGCCTTTAAAAATTCTTTTCTGATTTGAGTGACAGTTAAAATACAATACGAAAATAAGTAAAAGCTCTCCATAAATCCTTCTATACACAAATTACAAGTCCCCCCACCCCGCCCCCCCACATGAAGCCCTTTGTGCTAGCTGGGAGTTGGAGTTCACGTGTCACATGTATTATTATTCACATTGGCTGCCAGTGCAGAGAAATCAGTACGATACACATATTGAGTACCATCATTCACCCTCCCCTCAGTAATCAAATTCACCCCTGAAGGAGTCACATTTATCAGAAGTGTACCTGTATGTACATCGTGATATTTGTCTCTCAAAGTATCAAATTTGTCATAAATTGTCCTGATGAATAAATACCAGAAAGTGTTTAAAGAAGCGGCGCAGACCAACAGCTGTGGAAGGATCAGCTGTTTGATTTATCGCTTCAACACATTTTTTTTGCTTGAGACTGAAAAAACTAACCCCAAAAAAAAAAAAAAAATCAATCACCTCTAAAAAAATGCATGGTTGTGGAGCGATCTTCGCTCATCGATCCGCCCCTCATTTTTCTCTCCCTCCTTCTCTCGTCTCCCACTTTTAGTCACACCAAAAGTGTCATCATTGCACAAGAAACAATAAACACTGTGACTATGTTATCATTATTCTTACAAAAACATGACAACTACAGGAAGTTATCCAGCATTTTTTTTGTCATCTTGTGACACCATGAGAGGCAAGGAGGGGGAGGAAGTTTAGGTGGTTTTGGGGGCACTAAAACCTGCCATTGACTCTGTCTGACCGGCCCAGGAAACAGCTGATTCTGGAGCTGTTTCGTTTTTTATTTTTTTTTGTGTCTGTGTGTGTTTGAGTGAGGGCGTCAGCAGCAGTGAACACCTGCACTGTCAGGTCAGGTCAGGTAAAAGGAGAGGAGGGGTGTACTGAGCCCGGGGACTACCAGAGACGGCGGCGGCGGATAGGTCAGCCCCTCATCTGTAGTCGTCCTTGGGAAGGTCCAGGGTGCCCAGGTTGCCGAAGCCCAGTCGCATGCTCTCCATGTCGAAGCTGTCGATCTCCCGCTCCTGGCGCTCCAGCAGGTGTTTGATCCGGTCGGTTCGCTCCTTCTGAAGGGAAACCAGCTCCTCTTCAATCTGCGGGGAACACAGAGGAACGAGGGGTATTCATGGTTAATAAACTGTAGACATTGTTTTAATAAATACTACAGTATATGGCTTTTTAAAGGTTGCAATGACAGTATCTGTGCTATATTCTTACTTACATATTGGAGCCTTCCTCAAAGTAACAATTTGACTTGTTACAGACAGACAAGCACTGGTGGAACTAATAGCACTAATGCTGTAATTTAAGTGTTCCAGTAAGACATGTCAGTGAGCCAGCACGCACAAAAACAGGGCCCTGAGACTGGCACACATAAATGGAATGCAGCCATTATCAATGGCATTAATTGCACCTGTGTTTGACTTACAAACATCCCCAACTGACTGTATCAGTATTGGTATTTCAATTACAGTATGTAATGCCTAGCGGTATCGATTGTTATTAAACAATATGTGTGAAAATCATGTAAAAATAGTAGAATAATAAATTACACAGGTCTGCTTAGTGTGTTATTCTTGTGAGAAATCTTTCTTGGAGAGCAGTTCTTGGATAGAACCTAATTTTTAGGTCCAATATTTCATTTCTGTTGTATGGTAGACACAAATAAGAGAAGAATCCTTTCAGTATAATGCTCTTCAATACACCACAGTGAAAACTGCAGCTTCAAAACGTACAAAAGAGTTGAACCAGCACTTCAGACACAGTCACAGGGTTACCTTTACAAATGCTGTTTTTGTTGCAGGGCCATTGTGTTGGTTTTCATTACACTGCAGAGTTGTTCATGATCTTTGTGTCCACCCCCCGTAGCTATTTTATATCCTTACTTAATAACCTTACTAAATAACCTTATATCCTTACTGAATAAAAGACGTGGCACACTATGAAAGGTGTCACTGGATGCAGACTTTACCGTGCATTGTTTCATATTGCGAAGGTAAGTGTGTTAAGTTGTATTAACGAGGTTCGGCCGTGGCAGGAGTTTTGTCTGCTGGATCAGCCACATTAACTCGGCACACACATCCACAGGTGCAGACAAAGCACTGCATGGCGCAATACGGCAAACTGGCCAACTACTGAGCATGCACAGAAAACTCCAGACTTTGACCATGAACCGAACCGGAGGACAATAGTGCTTCCAAAACCATGACATCATTCCAGTCTGAGAGTGCAGACTCGAATGCATCCAGGAGATGGCGACAGACCACCACAGCTTACTCACACAACACTGGACCCAGCAGAACTGGATCAGGGCAGCATTTCAAATGTCTCTTCCTTTGTTGTCGGAGTGCTGTCTACTAGACTGTAGCGATGACGTCGGTCACTTTGGAAGAAGGCGTACTCGGCCGTTCTAATCTTATCACATGTCATTGGTATACACGGCAGATTGCCTGAATAGTCACATAAAAGATGTGTTTCCACCACTAGTGTCATGAAACCAGATGAAGGGACACAGGTTGATAAAACTATAAAATGATGGCAGTATGAAAGCCAGTTTACAGCGTGCAACACAGCTACAACTACTTCCTAATTGATAATTGCTAAATAAAAGTAATGTTTACACGGGGCCCGTGCATAAGCAGTTTCGACTGAACACATACAGCAACCTAAAAGGAACAAGCTATAATAATAAGCTAAACTGTGTTGCCTTATTATAAGTAAGACAAAAAATGTCGTAATAAGAGAACAATACTGTCGTGTAGAGATTTCACCACCATTATGAGTGTGTGGGAGAGAAATGGTTGTCTGCTCCCTGCAGGAAGGCATGCCACTGTCATCACCACCTGTGGTGAGGGAAATCTGTGTGTGTGTCTATGTGAACTCATGTGTCAATGTGTCTGTCTGGGTCGCCTTTCATGCCCACACTGCCTGCTGAGGGGGATGCAAATGTGTATCCAGACCTGCTTCACTTCAGCATCGAGGTGTGCTCAAAAACCAGCGCTGGACTGTCAGTATTACAACGTACCGCCACCCGTTTGTGTTTGTCTGCACACTTATATACTCATACTGATGCATATTACTATGCACTGGTTATATTGTTCCACTGTTTCATTCAGACACCCAACATTAAAAATCATCACTAAATTTATTCATTTTCCATGATTACTTTTTACCCTATTTTATATATATATATATATATATTTATATATGTATTATTTGATTCCTGTTTTTTGTATTTATCTATTTATTGTTTGTTTTTGTTTTTATAAATTATTATGTTAGCATATTTAAATGTTAGCTAACTATTTAAATATGCTTAAAACACACTGTTAATTGTACCTAATCTAACTGTCTATTTATTTTCTTTTGAAGCCTTCCTGTCTTGTAAATTCTTATTTTCAATCTTCCTTTTTATGTTTTTGTTTGTCATCTCTTTTGTTCATTTTTTCCTCTGTGTTGAGAAGCACTCTGGATAAACAGTGTTGTTTTAAAGTTAAAAGTTAATTAGGTGGGTGGAAGAATTGTATTTGTCTTGAAACTCAAACTGGTGGGCATTTTTAAGTGAAACACCAGGTTTACACCAGAAGATAAATTGTTTTTACAAAATAAAATTCTCTCTGATTTGTTTCATTTTAAGTATGTATCCGTTGTAATAAAGGCTTTTTAATTTTTTTTTACTTTTAAGGAGGAGTGTGCCTTAATTAATTTTGTCTTTTGTGAACAGTAAGAGACAGTTCCTTCACTGTATTTTCAGTCTGTATTTATCAACAACTTCAGAAAAACTCAAGTCTGTACTACAGAGCTGTAACACAAATGTAGCGTAAGACCCCCTAAAATAAGAGCCAGACAAAACAAGAGTGTTTCCCTTCACTGCTACCTTTTGTTCCAGGTGAGCCCGGCGCAGTGACACCTTCTGCTCTAGCTTCTGCAGCTCGCGCTCGTGCTGCGCCTCGGTCTGCATCTTGATCTTGCTCTGGTAGGCATTGAGCAGCTCCAGCTCCTGCTGAAGCTGCATGCGCAGCACCTTGTACTCCGCTTCCTGGGTCTCGTCCAATCGCAGCTAAGAGGCAGAAAAAAGAGGGAGCATAATGAGAAATGGATTTGGCAGGATTGTATGGATGAAAAATTGTGCTTTAGTGTTGAGGGTAGAAGAGGAAAAGTTTAGAGAGTTTGACAAACATAAATGAAAGAGAGGGAGATGCAAGAGCGCAGAGGAGTTTTTTTATATCAGTGTTTTGGCTGGTTTGGCTCGAGTTTGATCAGTCTGGGCCTGCATATGTTGTATTCAGTGTATTCAAAGTAAGGAATTGTCAAGCTAGAATCACACCGAAGTAATATGAATTACAATACTGAGAAACTAAAATACATCAGACAGAAATACTGTAGGGGGGGTTTGTGAACAGAATATAAAGAGTTACTGACGCATGAATTGTGTGCGTGTAATAATACAAAATGTTGCACAGCAGCTGAACTACTTTGACCTGTGTGTGTGATGTGAGTTTAATCAGTGAGTGGGAAACCTTCCCAAAGACACTTTAACTACAGCAGGAGTAGATGTGCGGACAAACAAGGGCAGCAGGGATTTGGCTTACTGGGCTTACATGGCTCGCTGCCATGTGAGGTCATTAAAGTAGCACGGGGCGTTATGTCATTGAAGGGAAAGGGATGTTTTGTCACATCGCATCCTCTTCCTACTATGTTTCATTCATTTAAAAGCCTGGGATTTGTGTGTGTGTATGAGCCTGATACTCAAACCCCTTTCATACAGCCTGCTCAAGGTTGGAATGCTGCACCGTTATTCCACCTTGCTGTATAAAACGTGCAAGCACAGAAGGGGGGGCATTGTTGTTCCGTTGTTAAGCCAGCAGACGAAGGTAGTAACAGAGCCAAATCAATGTCTGTGTGAAGTGCTGATGCTGTTACACGTCACACTTTTACCGGCATGCTATCGCACACTGGGGCATCATTATTTTTAGTGTGAAAAAGCAAGGCCGGTGTAATGATGGGTCTTCTTTACAGCAGTAGTGCAGGATCACTGTTTAAAAAGAGTGGATGAGTTAAGAGTTTAGTGATAAAGGACTGTACAAAAAGGATTTAACTACTTAAAAATCAGAAAATGTACCTTAAATACTGAGTAAGTGCTTGGACTTTAAAGACCCCCTCCAGACACGTATTAAGATATAATATAAATAGTCTGCTTGGAACAATAACGTGTGTCTAATATGATTTTTTTCCACAAAAAAAGTATTTTTACATAGAATTTGTATTCTTTCTCTGAATATGCTAATTTCGTTTTCCTGCTGGACGCAAGAAAGAAAGAAAAGTCTATTCTCAGTGTAAATGTGCACTGGTGGCTTCGAGTTAATACATCACATTTGTATAAGTTACATACTGGACCAGAGTTGACTTGAAACTATTTGTGCTTTTAGACCCCGCCCCCTAAAAATCTGAGTTTCAGTGATCACAGAGAAATGTTTCGCTTTCAACAGACGCAGGTGAAGAAATCTTAAAACATCCAATTAGGATGTAGGAACAAGACAAAAAAAACGGAGCGG